GACGATCTCAGAGATGAATCACAGGAAGAAGAAGACAGTCTCAACAGAGCCCTCATCGATCATTTCAGGAATACGACCTTCCGCGACGAGGATGGAAGGTACGTCCTCAAATTACCATTCAAGTCAAACATCAGGTCACTAGGTGACAATCAAAATCTCGCCAGATCGCGCCTTCACTCCTTCTTAGAGAAGCTCAAGAGGGATCCAATCAAGTTGAAGGCGGTCGACGACGAGATCGGTACCGGGTGATTTGAGCGCGGATTGATCTGAGCGCATGATCGATTTGAGCGCAAAATTGATCTGAGCGCAGAATTGATTTGAGCTCATGATTGATCTAAGCGCAATTGATCTGAGCGCAATTGATCTGAGCCGTTGGCCAGCTTTCTTTGGTTGAGCTTTCTCTGCGAATCCTGCATCCAGGTAGCCTTTGATCTCGTCGGTTCATGGTTATTTGAGCGCGGATTGATCTGAGCGCATGATCGATTTGAGCGCAAAATCGATCTGAGCGCAGAATTGATTTGAGCTCATGATTGATCTAAGCGCAATTGATCTGAGCGCGATTGATTTGAGCGAAATGGATTTGAGCGCAATTGATTCGAGCGCAAATGATTCGCGCGAAATTGATTCGAGCGAAATGGATTTGAGCGAAATGGATTTGAGCGCATAGTTGATTTGAGCGCATAGTTGATTTGAGCGCATAGTTGATTTGAGCGCATAGTTGATTTGAGCGCATAGTTGATTTGAGCGCATAGTTGATTTGAGCGCAGACTCCCGAGGCGCTGCTTGGAGAGTGTGGCTCGGCTATAAACCTCAGTTCGGGGCGGTGGGAGCGAACTTGAGGTTAGGCCACTGCGTGGCCTAACCTCAAGTTCTTCCCCACCGCCCCGAACTAAGGTTTAGTTCGCCTCACAATGTCAGAGCTCCGCATTGGGGAACCTAACCTAACCTGACTCACTATGTGGCCTTTCTTAAGAAAACATTCGTTGCGAAAGTTCGATAAACCTGGAGCCGACTTCTCGTATGAATCGAAGGAGCATTCCCAATAGCGCGCATCCGGAGTCTGGATTAACATGTTTATTCGAGCAAATTAGCGTCGATTAGAATTTGATGTTCTGTGCAACCGCCGTTAGATATTCGATTCTGTCATAATTTTCGTAGGATTCCACCAACTCGTTCAGACGTCGCTGTCTATCTCTGTAAACGCGTTTGGGAGGCGTGTCATTCCCTCGAGCTGCTGTATTGTCGACGCCGAATTCCATCATTCCTTGTTCAAGCTTAAGTTGCTCGATCAATTTATAAAAAGTCGGGTTGCTCGAACCCAGCCTCCGCTGGAAGGCGGAGTGCCAACCCTCCACTGCATTATTCGTTCGCGCGATTCCTTGACGGGTAGCTTCGTATGAATTCCACCATTCTAATGGAAACACGGCAGCGCCAAATTCCCGACCGATCCATGTCTTTTCGAAATAATTGACAAAACTAGACAGTGAAATCATGTTCGTTCGAAAGAATTCTGTCTCAAGCAATGTCCCGAAAGCTTGTCTCACATCTTTGCATGGCACAAAAGCCAACGCTGCCAACATCCGCAGATTCAGATTACAATCGAGATTGCTCAAGTATTGCTCGCGAAGGGTGGGCTCATGCTGGATATGTCGCCAAAGACATTGATTAAAATGAAAATTGCAACCTACAATGTCTGCACCCGGGAAGCTAGCTGAGACTTCAGCAATGACCGCCCGTTCGAAATCAAGATGAATTAATCGTGGCAGAAAGCCGTCAAGCGCCTCCTTGAGGACGCTGAAAAGACTCGCATACGTTGCCGCATCTTTCGAAGACAAAAACGAATATATCACCGGAACAGTTTTCCCAGACATCAGTTTGACATGGATCGTAAACATTTGATAGAAAATCGATGGACAACTCTTGAATGTACCATCCATAAACCACTCGTTACAATGCTTCAGAAGCTCAATGTTCCTGTGCGTGGCGAATACGATCAGTCTCTTTGGATCCCCGAGACCAGAGTCATGATGCAAGAATTTCTCACCAGAAGTCGTCACCTGGAGTAAGCGAGGGGACATGAGCATGAATTTCCAAAATATGATTTTCAAGGAATCTTCAATGAATTCCATGGCTAACCGTAAGAAACTCCGGAATCTCTAAATCAGCGCGTTGTGTTGGGTTCACTGGTAGTGATGGACCGGCACGACTTCTGTGATAATTGACTTGCTGTCGAAGAAGCGTCAAACTCGGCATTGCACCAGCAACTGGGGCTGAATCGATGCCACTTACAACCGATGCAACGACTGCCGACGCAACCGAACTTGTTTCTCGGAGGCTTGCTTCACGGAGCCGGTTTAGATGACGACGTGTCTCGATATCGATCGGATCCGGTGCGTGATTGTGCTCCGGCACCTCCTACGACATCAACCCCGTTAAAGCCAATTTCAATATTAGGTATTCTCCGGCTTCTCCAATGCTACCCTCATTCTCCGTGCTAATTCGTTTTAACTCACTCCATGTTCCCCGTTTTCGGTGCGTATTCGAGCCTTGCAACTCTTCTCGACACAACGCCAGCTCGTTTTCCCCAAAGACACACGATCCTTTCGATAGAGGAAGAAATCGACGCAAAGCAGCGGCTGGCCACGGCTGGAGTTCACAAACTGCAATGGCATGTTCTTGTTGAAATACAGACCGTTTTCAGTAAGGTAGCTGTAACATTCTCAGTGTGATTACGGATAGCATCCGGGCAATTCTTCGTGACCCAGATCTGAATGACCTCCACATTCAGATCTGTAATTGCAAGTGACCCAGTTCTGAAGAACTGGGTCCTCAGAACAATAGATGTGTAACGACCCAGATCTGAAGGGCTTCCCCCTCCAGATCTGCTTCCACAAGTGATGCTCTCCCCTAGGGTATATATACTGGTAATAAGACTCGCACAGTGAGGAGCTACTGATTCACACGAATCCCTGTATCTTTATTCCGCCGTGATCTTCCAGGCTCACAGCTTACTTTCAGATCTAGTGTCCACCGACTGACCACCAGTGGGTTAAATCCAACATTCGTTATTGCGCACGATCGAATCTGCGGACACTTGTGATTGAACTTAAGTTTTGTGAGCCCTTCTTTGTGAGTGACTCGTTTGTGTTCTTAGTGAAACAACGGTGCATCCTCGAGAAGTGCAAATGGCAACTCGAGTCAGACAACGAGCACAGGAAGATTCCACTAGCTCCCACGGCTATAGTGACTTAGGCGATGACCAGCCCGGGCCATCAGCACTAAGCTTAGGCGACACTAAACCACCATGGGGTG